CTCAGCCGCTTTCCGGTGCCTCAGGCGGGGGCTGCCGGGAGCGGAGCCCCACAGCCATGACTGACTGCGGTGAGTGTTCACTTGCTGCTGTGGATGTGCGCGGCTTAAAGTTAACTTTCTCCTCCGTTTGCTCCGGTATCGGGAGCCGCGGCAGCCTCTCCTCCCCCGCGCTATAAGTGCTCATTAAATCGTAAATTCCTGTATGACTTGTGTGCGTCTGCAGGGATCCCCCATAGAGATGCTCTGAGCAGCAGTAGCAGCAAACCCCGCAGTGCTCTTATAAACTGCGGTGTTTTACTAATTAAGTATTGCCAAGAATGTTTGATTGTAAAGAGTAAGTGATTTTATTGTTCTAATGCTAAACTTGCTTTTAGCTAATCAAAATCTATTTGAGTAGCCAATGCATGAATAGTCCTGGGTCACTCCAAATTGCACCTCTTCTGCTATTTGCAAACAAAAAACTGATGTAAAGAGCAGCCAGGTAGAAAGAACTGCAGCAGCGCATGAACCTCGGTCCACGGCAAAAGCACTGTGCAGAGTTACAAGCAATTAAAATCACTGGTAGCTCTTCGCTGCATTATTGTTAGTTGAAGCCTTTAATAGCAAAGAGTCATCTGAGGTGGCTTCTGCCGACGTGCTCAACCAGTGCTGTTTTTCTAAGGTAACTGGTAAGTTAAAAAGAGTATTTCTACAAGCTTCACGTTGAACAATGCTTGGTTTTTTGTGTGTATATCTGATAAAAGCCACTTTAATAACAGGTAATTCACTCCAGTGCTGTGTCAGGAAATGGACTGGGACCAGTTTGACTTGAACCCCAAAGTAATTGCTGCCCTCAAGAAAGGTAACTTCATTTGCCAGTGTCTCCCTAACAGATCTGTTGCCATCGTGTCTCCCTTTACATGACAGAGATGTACACTAACGTTTTAGAAACGTAATTAAGTATTTCATAAGCAAGTATTTTAATAATTAGAAGTAATGACTTTTCCCCATGCTCCAGTAATAATTTTCCAAACAATTTTATAGCATGTGTTGATACATTAAAAGTTGCCTGCCCTGCCTATAAGAAAGCAAGGTAAATAAGCATCAAGTAGATGAGTAGGAGAAAGTGAGAGAACTTTTTCTGCTGTAAGACTGCAATGCAGCCGAAAGTATTTCTAAAAACTCTTCTCATTTCAGCTGACATAAAATCAATAAAAGAGATTTTAAACCTTTCTGGAGCAGACTTGCAAAGACTGATGAAACTCTCCAGTGCAGATATCCAGTGCTTGCTGAAAACAGTCTCTCACACGCTGAGGAGAAATAGCATGCGGACAGGTAACGCAGTCAGCACAACAGTGTGCTGTTTAGATCTTCAGATGCCGTCACCGGGTGAAAATAAGGTTTCAGCTTCTCACTGACACGGTGACGTAATTCTGAAAATGAAAAGGCAGGTGGTTTGGTGATGCTGTAGTGAATTATCTAACTATAAAGCTCCTCTGAGACTGAAGGTAGCAGGAAGTGGATGGGTGTCATCCTTCAGGATCAAGCCTGCCTGCAACAGGACAAAATGATGCTCCAGTCTGGAAAACTTTATCAGAGGAGAGGGAAAAATTCCCTTTCCCTTTTGGACTTGTTGAAAAACTTTGATCTATTATAAACTGTATAAACTGACGTGGTGTAAACACCTCATTCCAAACCACGCAGGACCTAACAGCTCCTCCTGTCCAAACCTTCATGACAGCCCTGGGCTTAGGATTTGTTTTCCCGTGATTTGCATCTCTCCAGGCCTTGGCCAGACGCCTGCTGTGCTGTTTTGGTGGGCTGTAGCTTGCCATTTCTATAACTGCTGTGCTTGAACCTTGCTGGCAATATTTTCCCAGAGTGCAGCTTTCCCTAGAAACCCCTTCAAGGCAGAGAAAGGGACAAAAGGAGTTTAAGAGGAGGAAAGGGCTTGGTGTGAGCTGTCAGCTTGGGAACAGGCACCGAGTTAGGCCCTGTGGGGAAGACCAGGCTGAATGAGAGAAATGTCCTCTCAGCAAAGAAAGCTTCCCTTGTAGATATACACCAGGTACACAGCCTCTATTTTGTACCGTTGTGTGTTAGCGAGATGCTAAATCCAACTCCTTTTTTCTTCTTTTCTTTTTAACATTTTTTAAAAAGCCCTTCAGCTCTACCAGGACAGAGACCACCTCACCTCCCAGCACCAGAAGCTGAGCCTGGGGTGTTCGGTGCTCGATACCTTGCTGAGAGGTGGCGTTCCTGTAGTGGGAATCACGGAGCTTGCGGGGGAAAGTTCTGCTGGGAAGACTCAGATGAGCTTGCAGCTGTGCCTTTGCGTGCAGTACCCTTACAGATACGGTGGATTAGAGTCTGGTAAGTTCTGAAACGTAAATACCAATTAATTTGCTGTTTGAGGACTATACTGGTGATGTTCTCACAGACAGTGCATTGAAGTAGATGTGGTGTGTGTCTTACATGGCATTAGTAGTAAGCTACTCAGTTGGCAGTGCGCCTTCACACAGAGAAAAGCACGCTGTGCACATCACAACAGTATTTAATGAGAAATTACTACTGGCTGCTGCTCACCTGCTGCCACTGTGGGTTAAACCCGACACACATGCAAACAATAGATGGTAAGTGTTGCTTTCATAAGTACTTACTGACCCCTCAAGTAATGACCACAGCAAAGCAGCTTGTCAGATAATTTACCACCTGCATCTTGGGTATTTGGTTTATATTCCCTAGTTGGGCGTTTCAGATTTCAAAGAATATTTAGTTTGATAACAATAATTAATTTACAGAGTAGAAGTTGATGGAAATCTAATTGAATAAGGCCAACACTATCACTTTTAATGTTTTATTTTGAGTAAATTACATTGTCTTAGAAAGGGAGGAAATTTGTGTCTCTTCTGAGAATCCAGTGTCCTGGCAGTCTGCCTTTGGTGTGTTTTGGCTGTGACCTTGCTCTTCCTCCACACAGCACTGGGTTTAACTTGGCAGCTCAGTGGTTTGCTTTGGGATCACTTAATTCTTTCTTGTACTAGATCCACCCATGTTGAAACACCGTGGCACGTCCAAATGAAGATCTCGCTTAAAGGGCAGTAATTAGCCTGTCAGTTACATGACTTTGCTTCAAGTTAGGTCATTAATCAGCAGAAGCAGATACGTTTTGTTCGATTCCTTTGTGTGTTGCTCTAACTGCTGCCAATAGGTTGAATGCGAATACATCTTTATTTATGCCCCAGTGTTTCTCCCTGTTTTTTGTTTTCTGCCGGGTGGTGATGTTGAAATACACTTCTTTACACGGAGATTTATTGTGTATTTACTTCGTTTGACTTGGTGCTAATCTTGTTTATGACTCTCAGTGCTGGGAGGTCAGCAGCAAACAAAGAAAATAGGGCATCCTTTGCCCCAAGGTTCTCTTTCTGCCATTCGAAGAGTGTCAGTTATGGTCAGTTGCGTGTTGGCTGAATTTCTTTTCAATGCCCTTATTCACAAATAATACGTGAATACAGCGTGACAAATTCACATCCAGATCAGAATTCTGAATTGGAAATAAAATGCTTGCTACTGATTCTTGGTAACAAGCTGGTTTGGTGCAGAACAGATTATGTTCACAGGACTCAAAATTCATCCTTTTCATACTTTTTTCAGTGGAATATATAGAGGATTTGGAAGGTGCATCTGGAAATGGGACTTTCGGCTCCCTGGAGAGCCAGCATAGGGATGGACCATTGGGAATAGGCACCACTCACAGAAATGTGATCAATTACCATTTTCAGGAAGAGTTAATTGGACTGAGATTGGATGAGTGATCCTCTTCAAACTGGCTTACAAATCACAGCAATAAGTGCCCCTCCATCTATAGATTTAAAACCAAAAAACTTGAAAACAGTGAGTGAAATGAATCAAAATAGTGGTTGTGCTGGGTTTGGTATAGTGCATAGAAACTGCAGTATCGCTCTGTCTGTGGGCTGGATAGTTCTGATACTGCTGATACTGGTCATCACCCTGGGGAGGTGGTGCAAAACCAGGGTCACCTGCTGGGGAGCACCAAAACCCAGCTGTGTCAGCACACCAAAAAACCCACCTGGTGACTACAGGAAGGGCGTGGGAGCGGGGTTTCTGTTGTTGTTCATCATGGAGTCAACATGGCTGCAAAAAAACCCAACGTGAATTTCCAGGTACGTATGTCCTGCTTTTGAGTGTGGAATGCGTTATTTTATTTTATTTTATTAGCTGTTAAGAAACCTGCGTGCATAAGAGCCCTGTTGCAATAACAGAGGTGATTTCTGTGATTCCAGGAGCTGTGTACGTTTGCACAGAAGATGTGTTCCCAAGCAAACGTCTGCAGCAACTCATCGATCACCAACACGAGCTGCGTGCGGATGTTCCGGCTGCAGTCATACAGAAGATCAAATTTGGAAACAATATTTTTGTCGAGCATGCAGCAGACCTAGTGAGTAGTGGCACAAATAGTGAATATGTAATTATTACACTATCATCAAGTATCTGCAGGGTTCTTTTGACGTAGGAGACCCTTCAAAAGGCTACCAGTGAACTAAGATCTGTCACAAAGACCACTTAATCTCTGCAGTTTGTTAGAAAACTCTGCCTGTAAGACGTTGTCGTAGAATTGGAGGGGAAAGGGAAAAACTCCAGTGCCTTGTAAACCCCCATTTTTGTGCTTTTTCTAAGTAGCCATGAATGTGCTCTTTATTGGCTGAACGTCAGTTCTGGTTTCTCTAAGCCTTGAGAGTAGCGCTCATTAAATCATTCCAGTTGTCGAGGGTTTTTAACATCGCTTGCAGTAAGCAGCTGTTGTACATTGCTGTGCTTGCCACTTACTTGCAGTGTGGTCCAGGCAGCAGCTAAGTGACCTTTTCCATGTCCCTTTGATTGGAAATGCTAATTAAAATTCTAATTGTAGTTTTTGGAAGCTGGAGAGTATGCTATTGTAAAAAGGAGAGAATCACCCTACAGCAGTAGGTAAATCTCTCTAAAATACCCTTGCAAGTAAAACACGACACTCGCCGGGAAGTCCAGCTCTTAGGTGGCAGCAGTTGCACTGTACAAAGTATTTGCTAGTTGAACTTCTTTGCTAAACTGTCATGCTTTTACAGAGTTACTGGAGCTGTTCTAGCGCCGGTTGGTTGTGTTTTGTGGCAGGACACCTTCCACAAGTGCATCACCACGAGGATTTCCCTCCTGCTCGCCAGAGGCATGGTGCGGCTGGTGGTCATTGACTCTATTGCTGCCTTGTTTCGATGCGAGTTTGGAGCTGCGGATTCTGTTCTGAAGGCTCGGTATTTGCAGACATTTGGAGCACAGCTTCACAGTTTAAGCACGAGATTCAGGACTCCAATAATGTGCATTAATCAGGTATGACATCGAAATTGCTTCTTGTTTTGTAGGGACTGTTAAGTAAGTGGCTGGGGTGGGAAGGGGAATCTGCGTAGGCAGATTTTGTATTTAACACCAATGGCTGATGGAAACTGAAGTTTCCTTAAACTAGTAACCTTTAACTTCTCAAAGTTTGAGTATCACTCCTCCTTTTTAGTTTGCCTTGAAAGAAAAAGCGGGTTCTAATTTGGCTTAATCTGTGATCCAATAACTTGGGGTTTTGTGGCTTCATTCCCTTCCTTGCCCTTCTGTTTGCTAAAAACAAATGCAGAACCACAGGCCAACTTCAAATGCTGGTTTTGTTCCTCAGGTGACCGATGCAGTGAGCGAGGCAGAAGCAGCTCAGTGCAGCTGTGGGTAAGTCACCCGCAGCAGAAACACAACAATGTCGCACGCAGCAGCATTTAACCACTGTGACTTTAAAACTCCAGTATAAACTACCAGAGCGTATCAAGAGCAGCTGTGCAATTACCAAGCAGTGCTGCAGTTGCTGGAGATCAGCAGTAAGTGGGGTTGTAAAGTAGAAGAAACTATCATATACGTTGATGTGGTAATCCCAAATCAGCAAGGCAGGGAGGAAGATTCCCCAGAGTTAATGGCCGGTGTACTCGCTTATTCAGGAGTGTTTTTGTATCTCCTCTTGTCTGTGATATAACTGAGTGTTTTCTGTCTGCTTAAAAAAATACAGCAACCAAACCTTACAGATTGATTTTAAGGAAATAAAAACCAACCTTTTGACACAAAGATATTAACAGGATTCAAACATTTGTTGTTTGAACCTTGATTATACTAGGTAAGCTAGGTGCCACATAAAGGTGTTTTAGTGAGGAGTTGGTTATGTCCTCGGACTCAAACTGGCACAGAACAAGGACAAGGTTCAGTATTTTCCCCTTGTTGTATCTTGTCATTCTCTTACTGGAGAGACTGCACTTTTTTTTCCCCTGGAAAAAATAGTTTTAAACTTCGGGTTGAAAATAACGTGTGTGCAGTGTTCTATCTACCCAGCATTTCTAAATACACCTTTGAATGGAATCCAGGGCCAAGAGTTACACACTTCAAATAAAGTTCAACCATTTTTTCTATTGCTATTTTCCTATCATAAGAGGGGACCTGTCAAGACAGAGGCAGGTATTCACTGTGGAAAGAACAACTGAATTACTCTGTATAGAAGCACTTTTCTGTCAGTTGTTACCCTGCGATAGAACCTAGCACTCAGTTCTGTGAGTGTACCCTGTCATCTCTGTCCTCGAAGACCTACAGTTTTAAATAGAGCAAACAACAGTCAATATAGAAACAGTAGGTCACTTCTCCCAGTGTAATTTTGTTACTAAAGAAGAGAGGGTATTTCACATTAAATTCATACCTGCTTTCTTTGTAGTGCAGCGGACAACAGAGTCTCTCCAGCGCTGGGAATAACGTGGGCAAATCAGCTGCTGATGCGGCTGATGGTCAGCAGGGCAGCACCGCCCGAGCACTCATCTGGAGCTGTGAGGACTCTCAGAGTTGTTTTTGCTCCTCATCTCCCTCCGTCCTTTTGCTGCTACACAGTCAAATTGGAAGGTGTAAAAGGAATTAAATAAATCCTCTGCATAGGAGAGCATCCTGCTTCAAACACGTACTGAAACTACTGTGCTTCAGGAAGAGTTACTGGTAAAATGAAATTCTTCCCAGGCAAGAGAAATGGCTGCTGAAATACAGAGCGATCTGACTGCATTAACCCTTGTCTACATTGGGAAAGAAGATCTTTTTGTACCTGGGTATCAGCTTTTCCTCAAGAGTTTCTGAAGCTGTGGGCAGGTGCAGGCTGCAGAGTGAAGCGTGCTGTGGCAATCCCCCTGTCAGGGGAGACCCGATTTCTGGTTTTGGGTTAACAGCATGCTCATCTGGAGACGGCCTTTACTGCAGTTGTGTTCCTCTGTGCTTCCAGACCCAAAGGGACTCAAATTCAGCCAGTTAATATTGGCTGATGGTGTTTCTAGTCCTTGGGCTGTGTTACATGTAGCCGTTTTCAATCTATAGGGCCTCAGGAATAACACAAAGCAGCTTTGTCACGAAGCGGTGATCCTACTTTAAAACCAGTTGTTAAAAGCAAATATTTTTCTAGTATTTCTTTTTAATCCTAATATTAATAATATCTTTCTGTAAGAATTCAAATGATACTGCTTTTGTACTATATGGGCATAGCTGGCATTGTAGAATGTCTACAAAATTTTTTTGAAATGGTTCTTTTCCTGCTTTCCAGTTCCCTCCCTCTTAAGCCTCTTCCTTTTAAAAAATAAACCTCCACCCCCTTGTTCCTTTTGCTCATCACTGGAGCTGGGTAACCAGGTCCTTTCAGAGCCAGGGCTGTTCCTGTTCTTGACTGCATGGCTCTGTGTGTTGTTGGCAGGGGACAGTGTTCCCAGGCAGCCGCTGGCTCTGTCCCTCTGTGGTGTCTGTGCTCCTGAAGGGCACCTTCAGCTCTTCATCCCTCCAGGGAGCTGTGACTCTTCTCAGGTTAGTGCTGCTAGAGCTTTACGTGGTTTTCTGTCCATCTTTGCACTATTTATCACATCTTTCTCTGTTGTCCTCAGCCTGTTGCTCTGCCAGCTGCTTTCTCTAGCCTTTGCTGCAGTGTGAAAGCAAGCCAAGTGAAGTTAAGCATTTTCCAAAGTCCTCAGACTTCATTTGGCCAATGTTACATGGGTGTCTACTCCTGTCAGCGCATGATGTTCATGTGCATCACGGTCTTGTTAAGCTTCCAGATTCCCCCTTCTATTTGCTTCCCCAAGTTGCCCAACAAAAGCAGCATCTGATTTCTTGTTCCCGACTCTCAGGTTTTTCTGTGGAGTTACATTGCTTGGGTTTGGCTTTGGTAAATGAGAACCTTTTCTTCTCCATAGTCTAAACAATAACATCTCTTTGGGCTTAAGGACTGAGCTGGTTCTGTATTGACAAAGCTGCTCTTGGCAGTGTGAGCTTCCAGTCCATGGTTAAAGCTGTACCATCTTCCGTGCTGAGAGGCCTGACTGTCCCAGACACGTTCCTGTTGTGTTCTTTGTGCACATGGTATCAGTGAAACAGCCATCTCCTCTGCCTGTCCCATCCCCTGTAATGCTCTTTGGGGGACAGCAGCCACCTTTTCCTGTGGCAGCCTGCAGCGGGGTAGCAGAAAGGCAGTTCTTAGGTCTGGCTGCACACTGGGCAGATGACTTCTCAGAGGACAACCAAGTACAACGCACAGAAAAGAGCCAGGAAGACCAGGACTGTGGGGTCAGACTGGGACTGGGGCTGCCTCAGGGAAGCTCTTGAGAAGAGGCACCATCACAGTGTGAAGCTGCAGCAAGGAAACTCCAAGCACACAGAAAGGGTGAGGTTTCAGTGCCGTCTGGGATCCCTTCAGTCAGCAAAGGGCACCTTGTGCAAGCAGTGGAACAAACTGTCTCTGGATCTCTTTTCTAAAATGTCTTCATGATCTGTGTGTGGAAATGGCCGTGTTCTCTGGTGTGTGTTAATAAAATCCAACCATGCAGCTCAGAAGGCTTTGTGCACTCAATCCAAGGAAGAAGAGTGCTATAGCTCAGAGGCTCCCTCAGGCAAACCCTTGTTCTGTCCCTCCTTCATCGGGGTGCAAACCCTCTCAAAGACTGAACAAGGCATCTTTCCCCTTTCATGCCTTGTGTCAAAAGCACTGGAACATGCTTAGGTTTTAATAAATGCAATTTAAGAACCTTCCCTTTATATAGCTTTATTCGTCTTTGGATGTCACAACTGAGATTTGTTTCTATACAGGAAAAAACTGAAGTAATTTTTACACAGAAGATTTACATTCTAGAATGTTTGAAGTATATCGTCTTTATCCTGCAAGACATTTAAATACTTTCTATACTTTGAAAAGAAACCTTAAGTGACACTTGACAAACCTTTTAAACAGTTTCAAATTCATCTACAGATCTGTGATGTATTTCAAGAGGCCTTTTTCAGCACAGATCGTACAGGGCCCTGGAAACATCGCTTTGGAAAAGTAGAACCAAATTCCTGTGTGCTTGGTAAAGATGAAGAATTGACACAATTGACCTATTAACAAAACAGATGTAGTAAACACGCTAAGCAACCTCATCACAAGCTTTTTGTGAAACCAGTCAGTAACATTTGTGTAAGTTAGTTTTCAACAGTTGTACGGGTTAAGACCAACGGGTGAACTCGGAGTGAGATTCTGGCCATAGCTGCGACAGTGCTGACACACAGAGATCAACGTGCAGCAGCTTAAAGCCAACTGTGGGACGGTTGTTATTGAAAATCAAACATGGGCCATGGTTCTGCACCACTTCAGGACTCAGTAACTTCCCATGCTTGAATTGAGACTGAAGTATGTACACAGAGAGCCCAAGGAGTGATCTGGTTTGGAAATCATGCTGCGTTCAGTTCTTGGTGTCTCGTGTGTGCCAGCACAACCCTTAGAGCAGCTCTGAGCCTTCTGATGGAGCTGGGGCATTAAATGAACTTCTAGCTACGGTTCTCTAAATGTTTCTTATTCAAAAGCAGCCATAACTAAAGACCAGTTCTGCAGCTTCACTATGAGCACAGGCATTTTCTCACCCTGGCAGTTGGTGGCACTGGGGTTTGGTGCTTCCTTTGCTGTTTCGGGTTGGTTTGGGTTTTTTTTAAACCACTGACCTTGACAGTGCAGTGTACTGAGACTACTGTCAATGGTTTTAGGGGGGAAAAATAATCAAATGTTGATGTTCAAGATTTCCCTCAATCCTAAGCTATTATATATAAAAAAAGCCAACATTTATCCCAATCCTTCTGTAAGTCTGTGGCAATGTGAAGTTGCTACAAGGAAACTGCAAACTTGACAGCATCACATCTTTTACCATTTCTTCTCTCAAAGCCAACGTTTATCCCAATCCTTCTCTAAGGCTGGCAATGTGAAGTTGCTACAAGGAAACTGCAAACTTGACAGCATCACATCTTTTACCATTTCTTCTCTCAGCACAGGCTAACATTACCAAAAATGCAACTCTCTCAGCAGCTTCCAGACAAAATACATGACCTGCACAACAAAAACTGAAGTAACTTGAACTCGTCAAGTATTGTAAACACTTCCACCGAAGCACTGCACCCCCTTTCCCGAGGTATTTACAACAGAACCACACCGTCTTCAAAGTGACTGCACTCAAACGGTACCATTTCAGCACAAACACTGCTCAAGCTTCAAACCATTTCAATTTACTACCACACTCAGGGGGTGTTTAAGGTACAAACTCTAGGTAACGCACCCAACTTTTTCCACTAAGTGCGATGTTCTACCACTGCAGTACTACAGGCACAAACACCCCAGCAACAGTTCAGTTATTCCTCTACAAAAGGAGCACATCACAGAGCAGTTACGTTTTCAGGAATAGTGAGTAAGACCTAAACTCAAGACCAAATATCACCAATATCCTATGGACAAGCACAGACCGAAGGGCAATGGGCACCTTTCCATCAGTGACAATTCAGTGTATGGTTCCTCCCACCCACGACCATCACTGACTGCGTGCTCCAGAACCACCCAGAGAAACCGGCCCGAGTGGGTTTTTTTCTTTAAAAAATTAAATTAAATGTTAATAAAGCTCACCCTAACAGCTCTGGGCAAGGACAAACACGCTAGATGAAAAATAAACAGCACTACTTAACAAGACATCTCTCAGTTTTGAAGGTCTTTCCTAGTTTTCTGTTTCATCAGAGCTGCTGGTTTAGTTCAGTGCTGGAGACATCCAGGAGTTACTGAACCGGGTGTTCTGGTTTTGCACTCGGTGCAGACCGATAGCTGCAACGGGAACAGAGGACATTCAGAAAGAAAGCTTGCATAAATGCCAACTGAGAAGCCTACCTGAAATTCAAATGAATGCAAACCATGTCCTGACAGTAATCCATTTGCGATGCAAACAGAAGGAAGGTTGACCTTAAAACTGGTTTTGCCCTTCACAAGTTAGGGACGTGGTTTAGTGGGACTCGGCTGTGCTGGGTTAATGGTTGGACTCAACTTACAGGTCTTTTCCAACCCAAATGATTCTGTGATCCTACGCTCTTCTCAAACTGCAAACATCTCACTGGCTCCTAACTGTAAGGAATTGGCTGTCAATTATGGATGTATGGACGAGAGAAGTCTGGAAATTTGTTTATTTTCTGGAAAAAAACCACTTTTAAATGTAAGAATTGTTTAATAAGCAGTAGCTCAACAATTTAAACTTTCCAACACACTTTAAAATACCACCTAAAGGTTTAAAACATTTAAAAGCACAGTACTAGTAATGCCACCACCAGTAAGATCCTGAACAAGAAAGCTCCCTATCACCATAAACATACCATGGCCTTGAATTATTAAAACACCTAATGTACACTGTAACCTGGCATAGTTAAATCTTTTATCACTATTTACACGGGTTGGTCTGTTGGATTTTTCTGAGAGAGGCTGCACAAGAAATTTCTCTTCAAAGCTGAAAGACCAATGTAGAAAACACACTCTTCGATTTCATGGCGCCACGAGTCACTCCCAGGGGGTGGCACCGTGCTGCAGGGACAGACGCCACCGTGGCCGGCTGCTCCCCGTGCCAGTGGGACACAGCACCCACCGCGCAGAGCCGGCTCAGCCTGCCTTCCTGCAGAGAACAAATCACCAATGGGGCGTGTAACATGTTTTGCTATGGGGGGGAAAAAGTATATATTATGTATTTTATATAAAAAGCTCTTAATAAAAAGATTAAAACTCAAGAGTCTACATTAGATGAGTATATATTGTTAAGGTAACTGAGGAACAACTTGTTCTTGCTCGAGTTCATTAATGAATTGCACTACTCTGTGCTAAACTCCTACATATTAGCAGCATCATATCCCACTGTTCCCAAACTGTCCTTATAGCAGGTACACCATGCACAGCTTTCTTTAAAGAGCTGCTAGTAAGGTACCTCCTGGTAAACATAGTCAAGTGCATCACACATACAACTTGTTGCACCTGGTATTGCAACACGACTTCAAACCAGATGCAAAGCCAAATACTTCTAGCAAGTGCTAACTCTACCAACTCTTCACAGCCTGCTCAAATCCTCCCTGTGTTTTACCTCCTTCACCTGGTGCTAACCTTGGATGAATATTCCAGCTTTTCCCAAAGTTCAGTCCATTCGACATTTTCCAGCTCACAACTATGACCACAAATACATTTGTACACACAACTGGTGGTTTTTTTTTACTTTCTCATCCAACTTCACGTGAAGAAGAATTTTTACAAAAGAGGAACAAAATTACAAGCTTTACAGAAAGCAGAAGGAAATACTAGTGTCTATAAAATACTTAAAACATACATACTTAGTTCCAGCAGCAGTCCTGTACACAGACAGCATATATATTAAACGTAAGTAGGTTTAACACAGATGCGTGGCCATGGAATTGCTTGCCACTTACAGCCACCTAGAGCTTCACTGGGCCCCTTCAGATCCGAGTGGTCCTTCCCACAGCAGCTACTCCACCGCGTAACAGCCCAGCGTGGAGCTGCTGCTTCTGCTGCCATCGGCTTCCCCGCAGAAAGGCAGCTTTGGGGTCGGCGTAAGGAAACGCTGCAGCGCTGTGAGCCAGCAGAGGATGGGGCTGTGAATTCCAGTGGACAAGCGAGGGTCACCCTGAGGCTCAGTGTTCCCCAAGAGCAACCGCAGCCGCTCTGGGACAGTTGCAGTCCAAAACTTCACTATTCCTCAACCAGCCAAGGTCAAGGTCAACACATTTTCCACAGACCATCCTATCTCCATCGGTTTCTGTGCCCTAAGACTCCTATCAAGACGTGTCAGAGTTGTTGATGGCTACTCGTGCTATCTGTACGTAAGGTAACCCCAGCCATCTCTGCTGTCAGATGTAACAGCTCAGCCTAGTGGTTCAGTGGTCGGGTCTAAGTGCTGTTTTGCCAGCTAAGGTTTGTAACATTTCAATAATCCATGGTGCAAGGGAAAGCCCTGCCAATACAGTATGCTCGGTCTGAATTTATACAGTAATGCACATAAATTTATCCTTTTCTCATTCCAGCACTGTATATATTTACCGCTACACATTTAATTTTGCCTGCATTTTCAAACGTCTTTGCATTTTGGTATGCTTCAAATGTGTTTGTATTTTTACAGTTTTTTGGCTGCTGTAATATTCAGATCTATTAATCAACGTAAGTAGCACGAATGGGAGCAGTGCAATGAGCAATATAGATCTCTATAGTTCTCCTTTAGAAGAAAATACCCACTAACGCTGTGTTTAAAATCATCCCTATTTAGAAAAGTAAAACCAGCAGTCCATTGGGAAAAAAACCAACAAAATCTACAAACTAGGTGTTCCTATACATAAAGATGAGGAACCAAAGCTTTGAAGGTCTCAGTGCTTCCTTATTCCCCCAGGAATATTAGCTAGCTGCTGTCCAAGAACCTCAATGCGCCAGATCAGTGTGACTGACGCTCAGAGCCCGCGAGTCTGTCAGACAATTATTTCGTTCCTGTGTGAAGGGGAAAAAACAAACAAATTAAGCAGATGTCCAGATAGTTCAAACAAATAAACAGCATTACTAGCTTTAACAGAACAGGAGCAAATATGAGGAGCCATGGAGAACTGGCCTTGGCCATGTTGGGTAGGGGGATGCTTTGCTGTGTTCTAATAAACCTATTTTCCCCCAACTTTCAACTAGTGGTACTGAGAAGCCCTACGGATATGGACGTATACCCTTAACAGTCCTGACCCAAGCCTTACTGGGAACGCAAGAGCCCATTTGTGGGAGTTCCCCTATAGTGGGGAACCAGAAAATCCACCAGAAGTGAGAACTAGTTTTAATACTGCAGTGTACACACAAACAATAAATGACTCTAAGCCACATCAAATGATATACTATTATGTACTAAGGATCCAGTTTAGGGCATGGCATTTTGAAACCTTGGCGCTCTTGCTGCAGGATTATTCTTTACCCTGGATTTTCTTTGGCTGAAGCTCACCCTAAGCAACGTTTTGCACACATTTCACACCCCAGACACCCCTGCAGTATGTTCAGGAGGTAACAGAGTTAAGACACCTTCACGCCACTCGGCAGCAAAACAAGAGCCACACAGCTTGGGCTTTCTCGCTACTCTAGCAGTGATGAAGATCCTCACGTACAGCTTTGTTAGTACAGAAGCAATTTTATCTTCCTAAAATTAGTTGGAGTTACTGTGTTAGTAAAATGCACAACAGTGTTTAGAACACAGAACATCGCTGGCTTATTTGGCAGTAGAAGAAAGGATGATTTACTGGGTAAATGCAGTAACGGGACGTAGCAGTCGGGCACACTGTGGACAGTTAAGCAAAATAAGGTTTGGTATTAGCAGAAGCATAACATAGATCAGACAAACTTTAGAGACTGCTCCTGCACAACCTCAGAAACAACTGAAGTCGCATTTAAAGGACTCTGAATATGTACAGCAATTAAGATGATTGGGCTCTCTGCAATAAAGGGGCTGAAGTGAAAAATACTTAGCAATTGGGCTTTAAAAGTTCTTGGATTTTTAATTACCATTCACAAGAATGTAAGACTCCAGAAGTTATCTGTATATTACAGTTAACTGTAGTAGTTAGAAGGTCCAAAGCCAGGGACTGCTTGACACCATAAAAGCCAATGCTCTTTACTGGTGGGACTTAAGCACTTGCTTAAAATTCAGTGTAACACACAGAAGTGTTATGGAATGATCCCTTAAGCGTATGCTTTAAATATCTTACTGAAGTAGGATCTTACCAGTCACTGGGAGCTTGTTTCTTTATTATTTCTCACACTTTTTTTATCCCAAACCCTACTACTGCTATCTATTTTTGTAAGAATATTGTAGGGCTTCTTACTTGAAAATGATCTTCAGTAGCCTTGCCACCCATGTTAAGAACATTCAGAGAACTGGCACGCTTCATGCTGCAACCAGGACAGTGAACATGCAAGGATAAACCCATCAGAACAGCTGAAAACTAACGGCTCTAAAAACACAATTACAACAACGAGCAATGCACAGTTACGGGAGTTTGAACGATGCCCCAAAACTGACCTGGGGGACACCCTTTAAGTCAACTACACAACTTAGCATATGTTTATATTGGTTTGAAAATCATATATGAAACCCCCAAAATCACAAGCTCCTCAGAGCTTAGACATTTCAGGCAACTGATTTAATTTCAAGTCAAAATATTAGCTCTTAAATCATAGCACATTAACACACTGACTTAGCACTGGTTTTTAATCAGCTAGCTCTCAGTTTCAATTTTATGCAGCTTCTTACAAAGGCATCAAAACATTCAGTTTAGGAAAAAAATGTGAAATTAGTAAGTTTGTCACACAGGCAGCACTTAACTGGGAAAAGCTACAAGCAGCACTGGTTTAGCACCCTCTGCCTCATGTAGGCAACTCTCCACAATCTACTTCAAAAAGCATTTTAAAATCATTCATTTTGAACATTTCAGAGTAAAAGGAAACAAGATGGTTGCTGCTATGACCTTTGGTTATGCTTTTGGCTTTACAACGCTCTGAGCAGTGGTACCACCACCCCTAAACACTGCACTGAAAGCTACAGGCGAGGGGAAAAATGAGTCACCTACACAGGAGCTACTGGCAGTCACAATAGCACTGCACGGGCAGTAACAGCCACTGGTGGTTGAGATGGGGATTAACAATTTACCTGCATTTCTCAAACACACAGGAAATTCAACAACAATACGCTGAAGAGTGTGTAACGCCATTAAAGCTGAGCATGAACCTTCCTGGCAGCACGGTGACTGGACAGGAAGGTTCGATGGCCTTCATCCCGCAGCGGCCGCACATGCCCTGGGATGTACTGGCTGTGCTGGGATTGCTCACTGGCTCTTTAACTATTTCAAAAGTACTACACAAGGACTTTGGATGTATCTATTTGCTGAACTGTTCATCAGCCAGTGAGGCCCTAACCCTGCAGTGCTACCTACAGCTTTAAGGAGACGACTCAGTGCCATGGAAAGGTTTATCCATACAGCTCACATCGTATTAACGGGTTTTCCTTCCTACTGAAACAAGACTACTAACAGTCGAAGTCAAGCACGTGTTTTAAATGCTTTCATAAAGCAGAGGCTTGGCAGAATAAAGAACCAAAACACGAACACACGCAGGAAGAGCTGCCACGGAACACAGGTTTACTGGGTCTCCTAGCACTAAATCTGAATGTTTCAGAAGCCAGAATGCACACAATGTAGAGTATCTGATGTGAGTGTTAGCAACAACAAAGCAAGGACTCATGCACAGTGTACACCTCATTTATTCAAGGAAACAAGTACAACAGGGGTTATATATGGAAGTCAAAGTAAGTTAATCTGTAAAGCAAACAAAACAGCACATCAAACTCTCAAAAAGAGCATAAAGATCTATGGAAAACCTTCCAGGGAAATAGAAGATCCACGTGTATTTTAGGTTCTTGCTGAAATACTAACTAAAATACTAATGTGCGAGATACTGGTTTCTTTGTGTGTGTTTCTTCTTTCTTTTAAATTAGAAATCTTAACTGTTCTGCTGTACGCTCAAACTATTGGAAGTGAAAGATCAAACCTAACACTAGATAATAAACTGCAGAACTGAACTGTGACATATGACAAAGAACCAACAGCACGCTCCAGGTACCGCATGTTTCACAGAGCAGTTCTTAAGAGAGTTCTCTGTCAGAAGGGGTTTTGTATTGTTTTAAAGAAACCTTTTCCCTGATGAGTTTTCCACTTCATTCTCTGCAACTTTCTGTATCAAGCAACAAGATGAAAACGGAAGTCTTCATTTCATGCTGTGATATTGCTGTATTTTGACTTGAGTTTCCTACCAGCACTGCCAGTTACTATTTCCAGAAGCACAGGGTAAGCAGGAGGTGTAAATGGGTTCAAAATGAAGACCTCAGAGAGCCCCAGCAGCGAATGCAGAGGGGCCCTGGTAAGGAGGGGGGCACAGGAACCTCCACCCCGAGGGGCTGACCTCAGAGCAAAGATTATTTCTACACACGCTCTGTCACTATTGTAATATCCAGCTAGCAAACACCCTAAACCAAAGGTTTCCATCATAAAAACTGAATATCCCTTTTATTAAGCTCAGAAGCAGGAAAAATCCCAACCTCCTTTTACTAAAGTCTCTTCAGAAAATGAAATGGAAATGACTTCCTGGAATATCAGTATGTACAGCTACGCCTTGTGATCTACAAAGCTGGTGTTTAATACCAGGACTCTTAGCTGGTTTTAGTAACAAATGCAAATATAAATTAGGATTAAAAAATGTCTCTATCTTACAAGAACAGAAATTGGAATATTTATCGTCTTACACATTCAAACGTGCAAACCTACATAAAAGTCTGTCAAAGCAATAAATTTATTGCCAGTTTTAAGAATAAATTATTCTTTGAGAACAGCGGTATTTAAAAAACAAGAGTATTTTGTCAAAAAGGAAAAGCAAGAAAGATATTGCTTTGTTTTCACACGTCTTTCACATCCATGCCTTTATCTGCGGAAATCATCTCACGATACAGAGCCCACAACATCATTAATGTTCGTGTGGGTAGATTACCTCGACGTTGGCCAAACAACACTACTGCAGCGCGGACATAAAAAGGCAGAGGTGTTCTTACAGGACACTGCAAAGCCAAATGTCTTCAGTTCTATGTAAGCATCATTTCCCACACCTGTAACCATGGGGTTACTTTACCCACAGAACAAGTTAGCTCTGTTTGCTACAGAGAACAAGGAATAAAACTGAAAATCTTTCCATGTCTCACAAAAGTAAAGAGGCGATGCTAAATTTGCTATGAATATATGTATCTATTCATACAAGAATATGCCTGAGCTCTGATGTAGGATCTCTAGACAGAGCTGACTGCAAACAGAAAGCCAGTGTATTAAAATGCTAATACTGAAGACAAAGAAGGAAATCCCTTTTATTCTATTTTGGCTTGCATTTGCTTGTTTTCCCCAACGCATTTTACATCTACAGATTTCCTTCTTCTAATCACATGTTTTTCACAGTTTATGCCCAATCTGTCATCTCAGAGGAAGCTCTTACTGATGTGTCAATAAACACTATGGGACTTTTGACCCTGAATTTGATTCAGTGCCTTGAATGTCAATTCTGTCAGCTGAGAGTGAAATTTTCATTAACAACTCTAAAAATCAGATCAGATCTGTTTTGAAACAGAGATGCGAGGAAGGGAGCTCTGTGTGCACTGCAGCTGTACACAGTGTTTTACAGCTGCTTAAAAACAATGAGGCAAAACTCAATTGGAGCTCTTAAAAAAACCCATTTAGACCCTGCCTCCAGATCTCTGTCCTGGGTATTACCATCACCATTATCTACTGTATTACCAGCTGCTCCATCACAAGTTCCTCCAGTTTAACTGTTTTAAAGCAGAAGATCAAATTTGTATTGCAATGCAGTTTCCTGTCAACTGAATTAGTTCCAGTTTTCCACAGGAAGGGGAAAAAACCCTGGAAAACCGATTGCAATTTTGTTGGGGGTGAGAGGGAACACCCACAAGTGCTATACTAAAAAACAGTTGTAGCTTTTGACATTTCAACTTCTCTGCAGCAGCCAATAAACCATGAATATTAGGAATATTACATATAGCCAAATCCATAATCATATGGTAAACAGGAAAGAAAGTCAAGAGTCATTAAAATTGGAATTTTCACCACTGACTTCACTGAGGCCAAGATGTTAGTGAGATGCACAGCTAGGTTCAAGTCTTTCAACACCTTCCTCTGCTCTCTGGATTTTCCAAAAATACAAACGCAGAAGGGCTCAGGTCAGTAATTCCCTTTATACACACAGCAATATAGAAAGGTGTCTCAAGAGTGTATCAAGACATTCAGCTAAATCAAGTATGTTAAGTTGTGCGTTTACTGTATTCAAGCTTTTATTGTAAAATCCAGAAACATCTACTCAGTGCTGTGTGAGAAGGAGAATTCTGCAGGTAACTAACACGTACTAACGAACCTATGAGGCTTTTCTAGTCTTCAAGTGGCTAAAGCAGCAAAAAGGGAAAACAGCGTTAAGACTGAGTTAACTCTTAAAAGCAAATACAGATCCTTAGATGTTACAGAACTTTGGTTATAAGTTTAAGAAACTATTTCCTATTTTATTTTTCTCTAAGATAGAAATCTACGTGCTAGGCAGGGAGCTAAGCAGAGGAGAAAGCTCTGCCCTAGGCAGTGCACAGAGGGAGGGCACGGAGCGAGCCGGGAGCAGACAATAATTACCCTGGGTTCTTTGGGTCACTGTCTCGTGAGCTTCCTCCCTTCAGCTTCCTAACCAGCTTCTCGCTGCTGCGTCTAATGGAAGCCCGGAGCTTGCTAAAGGAACCACTGCGCTTTAAAGATCCAGTGCCATCCTGCAAGAAATTGAACAGACGTCAAAGTGCACCAGCTTGGCGCCCTCCCCCAAACCTGCCTCAAAACCATTTCATTGGAGAGTTTGTTTTTTAATTAATTGCTATTAATATAGACTTGGTACCATTACCTAAACACAGAATATTGTACAGCTATCACTTCAGCAAAGCCAAAGAGTTCCTTCTGAACTGTAACAAAGGTTTCTAAAACGTGAAGACATGCTCACGCCGTATTCATAATGCTCAATAAAACCCCACCACAGCAGTCCAACAATTCACCATCACCATGTCACCAGTTCACACAAGTGCACCGTGGTTAACAGCGTACGAGCCCCAAGCAAAAGCATTCCAGAGTCTAAGAAAAACACTGCTTTATTTTTTCTAAACAGCTACATTACTTGCAAACATATCTAATTAATCCTAAAACCCTGAAGCAAAAATATTTCTGATCAGAACCATGTCTGGTTAAATTCCTATGCTTCATTTTAACTTTCCCAACAGAAAACGTAAAACATGATGAATTTTTATACATTGCATTCGTGTTTTACACTGCCGTGCTGATCCAACGAGACTTCCAACTCACCACTACTCTATTTTTAAATGCTTTACTCTTAAAAAAACCTCAAACCCAATAATTTAGTAAGATTAGAAGTGACCGCTCCCTACTTCACAGAAACCCTACGTGAATATGAAGGAGGAACTCTAAAAAGAAGCGAGTGAGGTGCTACTGAGCAGACAGAGACAGACACCTGAGTTGGAGTGAGTTTATTAGAAGTTAGAAAGACAAATACACAAATCACCGAACACCAAGATTAGTAGAGAAAAGCATAATTGCCAAAATCTCACACAAAGACTAAACAGCAATGCTACTTTAGAATAATCATAAGTGAAGACATCCAGAGTTCCATATTGACGTTAGCCACTGAATAGGTCTCTAAATACATCTTAAAGCACTTGGAGAACATGCCTTACTGGTACGGGTTTGGTTTTGGTTTTCTCCTGTAAAGATCACCGTCATGCCATTTCAGGAATACCTCGTGTGATACTTGTAACTACCTTTTTTCCAGAGTGAACAGCTACTTATAAAGTTCATTGTTACTTGTTTTGTTTTCTTTTACTAATGTATTACACAGCAAATGGTTGTAATAACATTTTGTATGACTAGATACATATCTGGCAAAGCTACGCGTGTACAGAAATAGAAAAACCCAAAAGAAGACACCAGCACTGGAGGAATGGCCAGTTTACAGGGAGGTGTAGCTCTGACAAGGGTTTGCTAAAACACAGCAGTCAGTACTGGAGAGAGAAGTTAAAGCTTGGAGATGGTGCACGCCCGTCATGCAGGAGACAGTATAAGACCCACAAAAGGCATCTAGGCCTGTCAGAAACGGAGAGAGAAAAACCCAATGAAACTGTTGGGAAAAATTCAACAGTTTGCAAGTTCACACAGTTACGTGTACAGTATTTCTAGGTCACATCCCAAACTGCTTTTTCAGAGTGTTTGCAGGCCCTTGCCAGCACCAGAACCCATCTCCACGTGCAGGTTTGCCTACATCACTAACGAGTGACTTACAAAGAAGCATCAATGATGCTGGGCCTTCGTTACGCCTCAATTGGTACAAAATGCAGAATACCATTAAGAAGGAATAGCTTTAGTATTACATTTTGTGATCAAAGGACTTCATTTTTTTTTTCAGCTGACATTAACACAAAAATGAAGGGGAAAATAAAAAACCCAACTGAAAAAAAGGAACAGAGGAAGGTGCATTCATTTCAGCTTTAACTTCTGTCAGGGATTTTCCTTGAAACAAAATGGCAAGAAGAGAGAGCTCTTCCCCCAACCTCCAGACAAAATTCTGTTCCTTTCTTTGAGGAATTTGAGTCCAAGTGACCTCAGGAGCATTTCTGAGAACATGTATGTGTGTATATACACATACACACATATATATAATCCAAGTGGTAACCTCTGTACTTTCCCTAATGCAGTGAGGCAGCTGAAAGAATCCACCTTTAGATACGAGCTGTGGTTCAATTTCCACGCTCTCCCTTCTCTCTGTAAGTACAGAGACCATTACTGACCATCTTGAGATGACGGGTTTGAGAGCCTTTAACTGCAGCAACTGGAATGAACAGTAATTAAAATTATTCTGTGAAAGGGCAAACTGCCGTGCCACTGAGTGATTAGAAGATCACAATCTGAGTACTTATGCTTCAAACTAAATTGCTTATACTGTTCACACTTTTAAAATAGAGTTCAAATGAAGTCTACATTCCAATTAGAAGTATCAGATCAGTGAAAAGGCTGATTATTCCTATGGTCTTAAGGCAGTGATAATGGTACTGACAGTTTCCAAAGAACAAAGGCAAGACAGACTGGGTAGGTGCACAGTATCAGTTTTATTATAACTAGCACGTTAGGAATAAGCAGACAAGCTTTTGGGTACTTCAAATCTGAAGTAAAAACACTGAACTTCCAAGTTAAATACTGACTGCGTGATTAACAAAACACCTTTAGAACATGAGTTTAGGATTAAAAACAATTCCTAAATCCAGTGTGAACAGAAAAAACAGAGATACCCATCTCTGTGGCAAAGTTTAACTGTCGATTTTTGTGTCACTCAGATTCACCTCATTACTTTTGCTGACCCTTCCCCACCATCACCACCACCTGTACTTTGTAGCTGTCTGCTACAACACTGCCCTGTCTGCCACTGCTCATCAACAAGAGCTGCTCCTATCAGCTCGTCGTATCATTTCACACCTGAAAGTGGCCTTATGTGCCCCAAAGCTTGTCTTTCTGAAGCACGTGGGTTAGAATAATAAAAGATACTTCCTCACACTAAGAACATGACCTTACATTAAGCACTATCACAAATATTTTTAATCTGTCCTCTACGTGGCTGCAAGATCAATTTACAGAAATGCCAATTACAGATACCAACTATCATTTTTTATATACAAATACAGTAAGTGATAAAAACCCTGGGATTTCTACCTTGAACTTTTAAGGCCAATTTGTAAGCCACTTAACATGGCTGTTTTAACAGTCAGTAGCAGATTTACTTCACTAGGTATTTCAGCTCTCTTTGTAAAAGCATTAAGACATTACATCAAAGCATATAATGTTCAATATTACATACTTAAGAAGTTCTACCATACTTTATGGAACAGAATATTTTGTCTGGAGGGAACACACAAGGGTAAAAGGAAGACAGCACTGAGACAGAAACACTAGCAGGGTAGAGGGAGAGAGAGTTGCCCACTTCATGTAAAGCATGTAATACAAAATACCTTCTCTTAAGAGGGGAAAAAAAGAAATAAAGATGAGATAAAGCAGTGCCAGTTCGGCACACTAAAAATGAAAAGTTTGTTTGCCTTGTCAAAATCTAATTTTTCAGATGAACAAATTTTGTCACCAGGTTTGATTCAAATATTGACCTAGAAATACTGTCTATTGCTTTTCCAGAAGGCCCTTTCAATCCAAACCCTGCATGCTTGTTTAATTAATGTCAATAACAGAAAGAGGTTTAATCCATTTAGAACATAGTCATGCAAAGTACAGCGAAAATTAAGGGAGGAGTACAGTACACAGTTCTAGTGCTGAATGGGCAAAATGAGAATTAAAAAGAGAGTTATCCAACCTTCCTCTGGCTTTATTAATGATGCAGTGTTATTCACATTAGATGCTGATTGACTGTCTTGGCACTGAGAACACCAATGCCAAGAAAACAGTAATAAAGAGACAAAAGCAAAGACGCAAAGAACATTCTCCTTTAAGACTAAAGCGGTTTGTGTCTGATCAAGGTTTCTTTGGAATGCTAAAGTTTGTCTCATGAGGCTAAAAAAAAGGAGAAGAAAAAAGATTGCTATTATAAAGAGAAATGAAACTTCAGAATACTCAGTATAGCAAAGTAGGCTACTTCCCCTCCCATAGAGCAAAAGCAGGCAACACCAGGTTCATCATCTAACAGGACACTTGAGCAGGCTGCAGCTGGGAGTTAGCTATGGGGCAGTAAATATCCCATGGCCAGCGATGGGACAACGCGAGGGGAAGCTGGTGACAGAGGCAAAGAGCTACAGGAGCCAGAGCAGTAACTGAACGCTTGCACTGTCTTTCAAATTGAAGGAAAACAGTGGTTAGGAGAATGCATATGTAATCATATTATAAATATATATATAAATATATATGGTTTTACTTCATGGCAATCAGTGTTACACAGTGAAGCCAATACATGGGAAGCAAACAGGAACAAGCCCCGATTTCAAATTTTAATATGGGACAGTGATATTAATATTTCACATAATATACGTGAAGTTACTGTCACATTGTCCAAAGCAGCTGGAAAAGTTACGTTTTTCCTCTAGCAAGTTGGGTAAGGAGGAGGTTGGAATTATTTCAGTGTTAGACTGATCACTTTAACTTACTCTAAAAAGGCTAACACTTACTACACCTCCACAGCAAATGCTGTGATTCCAGCAGGTGCAGTATTTTTAAAGAAACATTTAAAATACGGGCAAACACGGCATCAAAAGGACCAAAGCAAAAGTAAGTTAATTGCCAGAGTATTTCTACCAGTAAAAAGAAACCACTGACAAGCAATCGTACACCAGACCATAACCAGGACACTCAATCAGCATTAAACAACTCAAGAGTTAAATACAACTGCTTGGGATTCCTGAAGAAATTTCACCGTTCAGGACAACAACAGAAAGGATGTTTCAAGGTTTTAAATATTACAGGGTTTTTTACATTATATTATGAAAAACAAAATGTTAGTCTTCATTTCTTAATTGATTCTGCAAAATTACAAAATATAACAGATCAACCAAGAAACTACTGAAAACAATAGGCTGGTGAATGGACAACCCTATCTGTTACGGTGATCATTCATCGAGGCTGCTCTCTTAACTGTGTACTGTACTTACCCCGTTCCACTCTACGCTCATACTCACTTCCTCGCCTCCGTCAGGACCACTCTCGTACTTTACCACATCAACATTGAGGCTTTCTCGGCTTCGCCGTTTCTCTATGCTCTCAGGGTCATTCAGCACTTCAGCAACTCTCTGTTTATGAACATTGTCAAGACCCTGAGAATCAGATGAAATGGCAAGAGGTTGTATTTGATTACAAGCTGTATTAATCTACAACTTACAGCAGCTGTACCTAGAAAGAAGTCAAACCATAACTCCATCCCCCAATTCTGCTTTTGGGGGCAGTTGAGTTGCCCTTTAAATCAATGCAGCAAGAAGTGGGCCAAGTTTGGCAGTTTGAGAGATGAGTGATTTGCTGTTCTCTTCCCCCTTCCCTATCACTTCTCAAAGCCTCACGGTGTCCACATCACTTACCCAAAGCCATTTCCCTACCACCTTAATATTTAAGCAATTTATATTTATCATGAACAGTCAAGGCAATTCTCAGTTTTTCACCTAATGGTGCAGTGTTCATCCAACTTTGTAAAGAACATTGCATGTGTCTAGAAATCTCATACCTAAGACACATGTTGAGTTATTCAGAAATACTGCCATGCAACACTTGGCACAGTAGTGTAATATATTATTCAGAAAGAAACCAAATAGAAAATAAGCTTAGAATAGAACAGACTAGATATATGGTCAATAAAATATGTTTACTTTGTGTTAAAGAATGCCCATCAACTACCAAATAATCCTTTAAATCTCTTCAAAGTGCTAAAATACCTTCTGTGAAAACCCTGCACTAAAAATAAAGGCAAAATCTTTAACACAGAAACTAGAAAGTAGCAAAGTTCAAATCAAACTTAGTTTCAGTTTTGTTTTCTTTATAATAAGCCTACTCCACATCATAAATGGTCTTTGTCGACAGGAAGAGATCCCAAATTAATGCCTCAGAAAACATTCATTTTTCACTGTGCAGCATTAGCTGCAGATGCAGCAGGGGATCTGTGTGGCAAATCCATAAAGTCTACCACAATATAGAAAGGGAAACTCATGCCAACATTCTACTTAAAAATGCTTGAATAAGAATGAAAACTGTTCTAGTGGCACAGAGAAATGAGGTTCTTGGTTCCCACGTAGCTGCTTTCCAATAACTGAAGAGCAGAACTGCCCTCCGTACCTCAACAATCTGTGCACACAAGGATGCATTAAACCAACATTTAATGATCGTTATTTTCACTTCCATGTCTGTATGGTGCAGAAAAGCGGCCACAGCTCTCAGAACACAGAGCAGCATAAGCTCAGAATGGCTTTTGCACCCATTAGCAGCACAGAACTGGCCACAGCTCTCAGACCACAGAGCAGCATAGGCTCAAAATGGCTTTTGCACCCATTAGCAGCACAGAACATGAAAAGCACACGCCAGGCACTGAGCAGCTAAGAGTTTATATATTCTGCACATATGAGTGGAAAGCACACGCCAGGCACTGAACAGCTAAGAGTTTATATATTCTGCACATATGATAGATCCTGAAGTGGAAAATCTGCATGACCACAATGCAGAAATACCATCAAGGCAAATTTTCATACTTGCCTGTTTACGAGATCTCATTGCTGCCTCTTCTAATGTTTCAGCAGCTTCAAATTTGCCCTGTCGTCTGTAAAGTGCCCCAAGGTTCTTTAAGGTAGTTGTTACTGTTGGACTATTTAAAGAAAAGGGAAAAAAAGATTTTATATATATATACACACACACACACACACTAAGCTCTTCTCAATTCACAAACGAGTAAAAACTTAGTATAGTATTTATCATATTTTTGCAGTTATTAAACACGATTCTCTTGAAATACACTACACAGTACTTCATGTACATGGAAAGCTTGTTAACCTCTTTCAACGTGCATCAATGGCTCACACTGTGATCAGTCAGCAGCCTTGAAACTGGAAGTTTGTCCAAGCCTCTAAATCCACCCAAGAGAAAACTGGAGTGCTATACCCTCGTGTCTCTCAGATGCATCTCAAGGTGAAAATTTAGCTCAATCTGAGTGTTTCCAAGTGAGTAACTGTGAAGCTTCCAGAAAACCTGCCTACCCATGCACGCAGTGACCATTGCTGTAGCTTCTGATAGTCACAAAACAAATCACCAGTTCCTTTCATCAGCTTTTACTTAGTACCTACTTGCACTTTCTGTGCATTCAAACCATGCTTGAACAATAAAGGGAAAAAAACCAAATCACACATTCCATTAACAAGTCTCACACTCAACAAGACATTTTTGTTTCAATGACACAAAGAGAATCAGCTCAGTCACAGTAATGTTGCTTGAAGTTTTGCGCCAGTAGCAGCAGAGAAAAGATTTCCTCGTGCATTCGAATGAGCTAGTACATGAAAAACAAACCAACAAGATGTATTGCACCCAGAGGTCAGAATGGAGAAAAAGAGCTGATTTCAATAAAACGAAGGTTCTGGTGTTTGTTAAACACGAGAATTCAGACACTGAAGAAACTAAAAACCCTCACTGAACTTCAGTACTAGGGGCAGGTTTTTTCTTACACTGTACCACCTGCATGCTAAAGAAAGTTAAGGAATAAAATTAAAGCAAACAGAAAAAAAAGTTTCACAAAGTATAAACCAAGGTGAAGTCCTTGTTTCTCTTCTTCCATTTTAAGGTACATATTTTATTCACACAAGACTATATTCTCCAAGCTTTAGAAACCCAAATAATGCTGAGTTGTGGCAGTTTAACTTTGTTTTCTGATATCAGCAAGAAAACCCAAGGCTCAGTTGTTTGCATGGTCTCCTTTTTGCTTCTGGCTCTCTCTTGCAGGGCAGGGAGAGCACGTGTGTCAAGCAATGGGATGAAGAGAGAAAGGTGACCTGTGCTGCCACAGGAAGGGCTGCCAGCAACGTAAGTGCTGAATGTTTGTGTCACTGCCTGGATCCAACCAGTCTGGACTAAAAGCAGCCCCAGGACTTGAAAACTGCTACTGTGCTCCTGAAACCCAGTCTTGGGGCCTGAATTTTTAATACTATCGTTTTTATAGTTGTAAGCAAGCAGCTGGTTTGGCTTTATTTTTAAACATGCTTTAATGTGACCTTTCTGGATGCTGGCTATTGTCACGTTGTTTTTCCTGTAAAGAAATGACCCACCTGTCAACTTTGCAAGCTTTGTACCAGCCGCCGTATTCTCCAAAGGATGTGCCATCTTTTTGCTTTCCCTAGAACAAAAGTAACGTTGAAGAAAAAGAACTGACTTGTAACTTAAACAGTAAAAGCTCCAAAAAAGATTTGTGAAAACAGCCTTACTTTGCATTCTTCCCTCTCTTCTGCATGCATCCAAATTGGCTTATTTTCATCTGAGGAAACAGAAGAAAATATTTTATACAACTACAAAACTATGAAGTTGGTTTTTCTTCCATTTTAAACGACAAAGCTTATTTTTATGCTTCTGAAATGAAGTTATAAACCAGAGAATTATACAGTTTCCACCACTAAAAAGCTTCCTGTCCACACAGCAAGCAGCAGATAAATAAAACATGCACCTTTTCTTTTATAGTCTTACAATTCTGTTTTCTTATCTGAACTCAGACACAGTTGCTTCTGAGCAGCTTTGAAGTCAGTGCATGCTGCCATCGATTTGTAATGTGCCTGGTTCTGTGCTAGAAAACACGCATTTCCTTCTTTTATCATAACAACTGCTTTGACATCTACTAAGTGGTGCATATGCTACTGTCATGGGATGCAATGAAAAGTCTTCAGTGGGATTTATAGTTAATAAAGTGCATTCAACTTCAGTGTACAGTGGAATTCACAATTTAAGGGTATTTTCCCCAGTCTTTAAATGTATTACTGGAGGATTGCCATTAAAAATGTATTTATTCTATCATTAAAAATCCTGCACTGACTTTGTCCTGTGACTAGAAAGTGACACACCTTTCTCCACCTCTGTAGAAATACCAAAACGGGTTTTGGTTGGCCATAAAATAAATTACGCCAGAAATACAATCCATAAAACAAAAAACTACCGATTTTACCCCATATAAGAAAAACGCTCCCTTTGATTTAGATATTACTGCTGTATCTAAATGCTTTCTTATGATGAACGTACTTCAACGCACCTACCTACGCTTCTTAAGTCTACCTCAAGCAGACAGCAATTTTAATCAGGATACAATTAACTTCCAGCAGGTTTTATTTCATAAGCACAAAAATCAGACACACATTCAAATCTAGGGACTAAGCCTCTTACCATCTACAGAGCCAAATTCCCGTTCGTGAGCACGAGTAAGAATCTCTTTGTACAGAGTTTCTGCTTGCTTAAATTTGCCCTGTTTTAGATAGCAGGATGCCTGAAAACAAAATACCCCCCCCAAAAAAGATGTATCAGCACACTGTTTTATTTAGCTTGATAAATACGATACATGCCGAATAAAGGTGCATTCCAATCCATCAGAAAATTTTCCTTTTTCTTAGATTTACTGTCTGAAATGCTTACCAGGTTGTTCTTCGTCTTTGCAACGTTTGGATCATCCGGTCCCAGCTTAGTTTGGTAAATCTCCAGTGCCCTCTGATAGTAGTACTCAACCTCCTCATATTTACCCTGGTTCTGGCACAGTAAAGCCAGGTTATTCAGTTGTTTGGCAACATCAGGGTGATCTTTCCCCAGAACCTGGAAATGAAACACCTTTTATTAACACATTCTCCAATCATCCTATCAGGGTGTAGCAATGCATCATTTAGGAACAGCCCTTTAGTTTTCAGTCCTCATGAATTCAACGCGAGGATGACCAAAGCAAAATTTGTATTTGAAAGATAAGAAAATGACTGAATTCTGTGACAAACTGAGAATGCTGCAGAACAATTCATCACAGGACAAATGTAAGCAGCACAATTACATTATATGCAGCGAATTATACAAAGAAGCCTGAAGACGCAGGAATTCACTCTCATGGACTAAAGTAACTACCCACATAGTCAAAGAACAATCAGCTTAGAAATTTTAACGGTTTCATTTTTAATTCCAATGCTCCTGTCAAACCAAAGATTATGTAACTATCGAAGGGGAAATAAAAAGGTAAAGAAGGTTAATTACAAAATACAGAATTTCAGATGTACCCAGGGAGCTCCAAAGCTCTGTAGAACTACTGGAATTTACAACTGTTTTGAATTTCTAGCTACTAGAGCATTGCTAACTGTTGTTTATCTGGCAGATCTACCCAACCAAAACATAAGAAAAACAAGGAAGAAGTGTTTAACTTTGCACTCTCCCTCAAAAACACCTACTCAGAGGTGCTGTATTCTTTCTCTCATACCTTTTCTCTGATTTCCAGAGCTCGCTTACACAAAGGTTCAGCTTCTTTGTACTTTCCTCGTTTACCATAAAGTACTGCAAGGTTGTTTAGAGTTGCTGCCACCTGTAAACAGCAGAGAAGTATTAATTACACTGGAATTTGCTGATACAAATATCTGACAACCGAACACATCTGCAACGCGCTGATGTTGTCAAATTTTCCATGCGCAGGGCAGACCTCTTGAAATTTGCAAATGAAGAAATGATTCTTATTGAACGCACACACACAAACAAGAAAAGGAAAAAAAGGAAATCATGGAATGGTTTTGCTCCATTTGTGGAAATGTCATTTAGCGCATACATTTTCTTCACGTTTTTCTCTTACAAAGTTACCTCTCGGATCCATTACTCACACCTGCCCTGCTTCACACAGCCTACATGAAGCGAGATACCACATTAAATTTAAACACCAAGTACAAAAGCCTGATTTATGTTTCATTTAAAAGCAGCAGTAAAATAAATCAGAAGTACACCTTCAATCTGAGTTTAATAAAGTGATTTGAGTAAGCAAATTATTTCTTTACAAATTAATTTCCCATAGAAAACCCATGCAATCCAAAATCAAGTGTGTGCAAGTCATTTGTGGTGAAACAGCACTGAATATATTTAAGAGAAAACGTAGAATTTTACATTTTGGCCTCCTACCTGTACTGGTTAGAGATAAGCCAGGTCTTAATAACTTTCCTGTTGAGTTTAATATTAGAATGAGTTGAAAAAAATTCAGTGAAAAAAAAAACCAACTAAAAAAATGAACTAAAAATATGAGATTGCATGTATACAAACCGCTGGATGATCTTTGCCCAAGGTCTTTTCACGGATAGCCAAGGCATCATTCAGGAGATTTGCTGCATCTTTGTATTTGTTCTGGTCTCTAAATTATAAAGAGTCATAATTAATACTGAGGATTCAGAAATTAATGTCATTAAAATGAAGCTAACCTCAGTACTGGCCTAAAGATGCTAGTACAAATGAAGAGCGATTGAGAACATATTTGGAGATCAGGAAGTGAAGACCTGAAGTTTCTAATTGTAAAGTCATTTGCTGGTTGAGGACAGGCATGTATTGCTTTTACACTGCTGTCCATTTTATACCTCTAGATTATCTCTAAGTGGGTAATCAAGACATGCCCCATCACTAGACAAAACATCCCAATAAAAAGTCACTTCACTCTCAAAACAAAGGCATAAGCAAAACCACAGCATCTCATTTGACTTTTGGTACAGGGTTCTATCAATACTGCAGGACCCTCTTGGGGGTTTTAATAAAAAACAGAATGGAAAAGAATACAACAGTCAAAAATGTCAGTGTGAACACTAACAGGTTATAGCCAATTACTAACTATTTCTTTAACTGGTATTTCTGTCAGCATACAAACCTGTACACCAAAGCAAGTATGTTCAACATAGTGGCAACATCAGGATGATCATGACCTGAAGTCTTCTCCAGATCTTCCAGAGCTTGTTTGCACAGAGGTACAGCAACCTCGTATCTGCCCTGGGAGGCGTACTGAATAACGAGGTTATGGAGGGTCCTTAACCTTGCGGGGATTTCATAGCCGCCTTGTTGGGCCGCAGCTGCTGCACTGCTGTGCTGCTGTTGAACTGAAAGAAATCCGCAAGATTTCGAGTTGTTTACAAGGTTACTGTAACTAAAACATCTAACATTACTGCTCAGTGACACAAAAACGAGACTGACTGAATTTTATTTCTTCTATTCAAAGCATTAGTATTAGAACATACTTCACAGCAGCCATGCTGTCTTCAACAGTGACAGTAAAAACGTGACCATTTCATTCTTCATACTCTGTCAGTATTGTATCAATATGATTTTGTACTTCTACTGGCTCAGAAGCCCAAATGTAACAAACCAATGGAGAAAGTAGGAAAGTATTTCAGCTCAGTACATCAACAACTCTCAAGATTATACCATAATCCTGCATTTAAAAACATTGATGTTTCTCTATGGAAAGGAACATTAACACAGACACGTCAAATACCTGCAGGAAAGCTCAAATGAGTGGTACTTTTCCCCTTTATTCTCCTTCTCTACTCACACAAATTTGGTTTCCCTTTGTTTTCCCAAGGAATACTTAATGTTGGCACACAAAGGATTAGAACACCGTGGACACCACAAATAACAGTTGTGAGACAACAGACATTGAGTCAAAGCCAGTGTCAACCTTTAGGCTGTACTTACTAACCCATAGGCTTAGTCACTTATTTTCCAGTAGCTCCTAACCCTTGGTTGTTGCAACCCCCACTCTCTCACTCCCCCCCAAAATCTACTACTCCTTTTCTCTTCCCCTGGGAGATTGAAAAAATTACCTCTTGCTCATTTTCACTGAATTCTATATGACACACAGGATAAGGGCTCCAGCCGTGAGCCTGACTTTCTTCTCTCCTCTCCATTAAGGAAAAAAACTCTCACAGCAAGCGGGAGCCTTCTCATGTCAGTGGCATCATGTCATTCCATGCCTACACCCGCAGTCGCTGCCTACAGCGCACTGAAGCATTTCAGTACTTTTCCTGGAGGTCAAGGAAATTACTGAAATGTCAGCTTTGTCTCTCGTAAAGTGAAATAAGGTAGACGGGCTATGTAGGTGTACAGGCAGCTTTGCCATTCAACTTTCCTACTACAAAATTTGAGGGAAGGAACGGAGAGTTCATCATCAGGATGAAGTTCATGGTCAACACTACCCTATTTAAACTCTTCAAGACTTCCTTCCCTTGCTGGCTATGGATAGCATTACCATGCTATCAAGCAGGCAGTGTGTCTTGTGTATGTGTATGCAATGCAGAAATGCCCTGCCCTTGTAATCTGGAGCGCACTTACTTCCTTGTCCTTGGTCGTCTTCATCATTGGGAAATAAGTCATCCAAAGGCTCTTTGGTGGAATCCGTATCTTTATCCTCCTATAGAAAAACCCCAAACCCAAATTGTTACACTTAAATCTAAGGCATAAAGGAACAGTCCCCTTAATCAGCAACGTTAAAAGAAAACCCAACACCCAAACCTTCGGAATTTACAAGAATAACGCTTCTCAGAGAAGTGAAATGAAGGTCTTGCGTTCAAGTGTATTTACTTCTCTGTCCCGAAACAATACAGGACACCTTCAGAAGAGCCAGGAATAGAAATCAGGTCTCCTAGATTTCAGTCTCAATTTAAGCACACAAGAGCACATTTGCAGTTCGTACAGAGCCATTACAGCTGCTGAAGGTACCCGGTGAAGAGCGAGTGCTACCGAATACAGATTTGCCCGCTGTCCTTTTTTTAGCCATAAACGCAGTTATAGATTAGCAAAGGGGAGGGATAAGGAGACTCATCTCCTGAAGGAGAAAAAAGTTGCACCAGCAACTTTAATTCTGTCACTGCAATTTCTGAGTATGCAACTTGTGCACAAATAGGAGATTCTGCAATTGTGATCTGTAAGGTTCAAAACGGAAAAAAAAAACCACCCCACACTTAGAAGAAAGTTCCTCTCCAATCGTCTCCACCTGGAACCATATTAATTTCTGCACAATCCATCAGTGTATATCAATTTTAAACATCCAAATCCCACAATAATGTAACAAAGAAACAGATCATCCCTCAATTCTGTTTCTTAAATGCGGACCCTACACAATATAAACAGTTTAAGTTCCCAGAAATGTTAACCTCAGTAAGGAGAAAGCCCAGCAGCAGAACACATCCCTGTTTTTCTGGCTCTCCACCCAACACTCTTCCACAGATGAGGAAAAGACAACTGCTGCCGCTGGCATTCAAGTTCAATGGCAGCCAAGTGGGCGCTCTGCAAGACCAGCTGGGACCAGGTCTCAGATGGTGTCGTGGGGTTAAACCATGACAGATGGGAAGTTCATCATTTGAAGTGTGCTGACTCCAGCCTCATACTGAGTGTATACAATTAACTCTTTTCAAAGGCTGACAACAGGGACCTGTTAGTGAAACTACAAAGATGCTTTGCCTACTGTGCCCCTATTTGCCGATTAAACTTCAAATACTGGTGCTATTGAGGCCAACTGCAGATTAAAGTCCAACAGCACATCAAAACCCCAACACTCCTTCCCCCTGCTCCTTTCCTCAACAGCCTGCGCTGGGAGCATTCAGCTCCAAATACCAGCTCACCAAACAGCACTGAAAAGTCCCACGTGCAACTGACCACAACGACTGTCCCTACTCACAATGTGTTGAAAAGGATTTAGCCAAGCAGTCAGTTAAGCACGACTAAAACCATACATTTTCAACCGTTATGTTGCTGAAATAATTGGTTATGAAAAACTGTTCTTTCTAAGACAGCTTAGAAGGTCTGAACGCACAAAATGAGATCTTTCTCTACAGTGCCATCTAACTAAAGGAACAAAATAAAAGGATAAGAAGGGCAAATAATTCAGAAGTCTTTTTAAGTGATAAGTTACTTCTGTAAATGAAACTGGTATCCATCTTTTCTCTGAATCTAAGAACGTGTAACACAATGGGCTAAACAGGACGGAAAACGTGCAGATGATCACAGTGTCTGGCAGAAGCTCATGAAAGGGGATTCAAAACCATCCCACCCTAGTGTAAATTCTCAGCAGAGGAAAAAAAGCCGCACAGTGATTTCACTAGACAAAAATAAAATGTTTTTCTTGCAGTCAAAATAAGCCAAGTGCCCTATGTACCGAGACACTCCAATAGTTTACATTCCCCACTTATTTTAACTGCTGAATATACAGAAGGAAATTTTTGGCTTGAAGTTCAGTTCTTCATATTTTTTTAAGCTAGTAATATACTAAATAAGTATTTATGGATTTCAGCCCTCAATATGTATTACATTATCTACAGACAGTGAAACATTTACTCTCTTAAAACAAAAATGAACTGAACTCTCAGAATCTTTTGCAAACTATGTGGCACTGGTACCAGATATGCATTTTGATGACAAGTTTATGTTAGAGACAAATGAAGAGCTTGCATCTGTCATTTCTTGGTAACCAGGCAGATTACAACACATACGTCAATGTAAGGTGCTTTTTACCACACAGCTACTTACTGATGGTGAAATATCATCATCATATTTTTTTAATTGATTCATGAATTCTAGATGTTTCTTTTCTTCCTCCAGCTGAGCCACAGACTGCTCACTTTTCTGCAGTTTCTGCTGCGTATTGGCGAGTTCATCCCGGAGCCACTGATTCTCCTGGCATAGCCGGCGAACCTGGGCACGCAATTTCTGCTTCTCCGACTCCACTGCATTTAGGTGATTTGACAAGGCCATCATTACCTAAAAAGCAGAAGGTGTCACGTGACAAACTTCCTCTAGAACACACTCCTGTATTGAACATAAAAGCCCTTTATTACTTAAAACCTATCTCAGCTGTGAAATCTGGTAAACATTCAGATTTCTCTTCTTTATAGATCTGATTCTCTCTTTTCCTCTACATTTTTTTTCCTATTTGTTCAGCTAGAATTAACCTAGAGGAACTCTTCACTGATTATTGTTTTCCGTGATGCTATCACAAGTCCAGTTGTTACAGAATTCCCTGAAGGTTACATATAAACTTAAAATATATGAAAAAAATGAACTAGGATTTAGGTTACCGAAATGGAAATCTTTGTTCCACTAACATGAAATGGAGAAGTAGTACTTTTACTTTGAAGGCTGACAAAAATAACTTAAGACTAACAGAGAGTTCTAATTTAGCAGCTTTCAGACAGAAAGGATTGATATACGCGCTTAAACACCTCAGCATAATTATCATACTTCAGAAGGACAATTATATTACTGAGATCTAAATGTGCAACCCAAAACGCAATTTATATAAGCACTTCATATACACATGTCATAGGCCTGAGTGTGCAGACACTCGGTGAGTCTGACCAGTCACGCTAAGGACAAAAACCAGAACAGAATGAAAGCAGTCTACTTGGATTGTGTTTTGTGCTCAGCAAAGTTAAATGAAAAAGGAGTCTGTCAAGTGAAAACCAAACACTACACACAGAAGGTACTCTCCTGAGCACCCACTGATACAGGCAGAACAGCTGAGAGCACTCCCAGGAAGCACATCTCGTAAGGATGGGCCACTGGCGATAACACAAATCTTTCAGATGAGTTTGACATCCCCAAGGAATTAGTATTTCATCTCCTCAATTTCATGCTTCTTTAACACGAAGTTACTTTTAAGTGGTTTTAAACTAAATATTCCATGTGAAACAGACGGTGTCCTTAGCTGAAAATTCAGGTTTCAAAACAATGCACCAAGCCTTTAGAAACTACTTTTTCCTACAAAGGTAAGAAAAACTCCACGTATCATTTCCGAATACTTCAGCACCTACCTATTTACATATTCAGATTTGTTAATAATTTAAATTACCTGTCCTTGTATCATCAGAAAGTACATTTAGGAAAGTTGTGATAATAGGGTCAACACTGTATGAGCTACAAAGGGAAACTAAAATCTTTTGTAATCTCACTCTCTAGGAAATTACTTGTCCTATTCAAACAGTGGCACTTGTAACATCAGAAAGTACATCTAGGAAAGCTGTGATAATAGGGTCAACATATCCAAATGACACTGTATGAGCTACAAAGGCAAACTAAAATCTTTTGTAATCTCACTCTCTAGAATTAACTGAGAGAAGTTGGATTACTTCTTCAGCAAGGGCAGTTTCATTTTCATGGAAATAACTCTTATGTCATCAGACCTACGTCTGCGTCAGATGTCAGAACCAGCTTTTCGGAGTCTCAACACCACCAAAGTTAGGAGAGGGGAGTTACTCATCCACTCACAGATCTTCCACAAACACCCATTAAAGGTAACTCAACTACTGCAAGTTTATTCTATCTATTTTCTAGCATTTTCTGCCAACCCAAGGGATCAAAGCTTATACAATCCACCCAGGCCTGACAGTCTGTACCATATGTCCAGGGGCTCCACATTCCCATGGCTGGTAGCTGTATTTGTTCATTCTCTCAGGCCCCAATTCACCATGACCCAGTGCACACAACTTCCACATCACCGACCAGTAATAGCACGATCCAGACAAGACTGAGCACAGTTATAGGCCAAAAGAAAGTCTCTTAATATAGAGCTAACTCACTGGCATTTTCAACTCATTTGCAAACATTCTGCTGCTTTATACTGATGACTGTGTCGCATCGCATTGTTTCGGGTTTTCTTGACCTAGTACAAAATACCCTAAAGCTGAACTGTAAATACAGTCCTGACACCCTGACTAAACATGCATCTTCTCACTCATCTTCTGCAGATAACTTCATTGCCCAAGACAGTTCACATAAATTAGCCCAGAGTCCTTTCTTTGATGCATCAGTGAAAGTTGTTCAGATTCTGTACTCAATTCTTAACCTTTGAAATGTTTTTAGATTCAATTTTGGTTTAGTAAAATGTTCAATAAACATCCGATATTCTTAAGCCTAAGGAGCATCATGAGCTACTGTAAAGAATCTTAGAATCTAGGGAATATCAGCATGAATTTAAGGTAACAGCAGAGCTCAAAGGTTGGAGCAAATTCATTTATTTGTGTGTGTAAGACCTGCCCATGCAAGAGTTAAAATGTCAGTCGTCAGTTCGTGAGCTGCTCAGACAATACTTGCCTAATGCCGTGGAAAAGTCGAAACAGAAAATAGCAACGTCTCACTGAAGTAAAGAGGAGCTCAGTTATGAGCTTCAGTGCATAAAGCTGAATGCATCATTAGTCTGTAACACAGCGACAGACAACATTTACCTCTATTAATTACAGCAGTCTTTTTCCTTCACAAACAAGAACAATGTAGATGTCCCAGCACATTATTAATATTCAGTAAGGCAAATATTCAGTCCTCGCAGTCTGAAATGCTTTATTTCCACTGCAATTTTACCTGTGCTTCACTAAGGCCAAGCTCCAGCATTTCCAGTGACTTTCGAATCATGTTTGATTTTTCTTCAACCAGATTAGTTTCATCATCTTTCTTCAAACATTTCAGTGTTTCAAGTAAGCTCTGTAAAATTGAGTTGTGTTCATTCTTCAGTGCCTCTAGTCCATTAATCACTTGCTTCGTTTTGGCAATGATTTCATCTTGAGTAAGCTTCTCCAACTTCTCTTCCTTTAAATACACCATTGTGGACATGTTTTCATACATTCTGAAACAGAAGAGTACACCAGTTAACCCAAAAGTAGAAATAACATAAGCAATGCTCTATAACTGAATAAAGCTTTCCTTTAAGAAGTAACTGAAACATACGAATTTGAAATGTAATCAGAACGTAATGGTATTTTTACACAACTTTTACAATGTTCTGAGTCCTGGGTTTGAACAGTGTAAAAGTTTTCCAGCTTCTGATTCCAGAGTTAATATTGGCAGTAATCCATAAGCCAAACAACAACTGAAAATAAAGTCTGTATTACAATACGACAGGATAATTTCTAACTGAAGAATCTGGCTGCATCTCCAAGATGTGCAAAAGCAAAGTAGTTGCTGTATAAAAGATACACTATAATATAGTTATTTGCAGATGCCACTGGTCTGCAACTATCTTGACAAACATCCACAAGCTAGAGCTTGAGGAATCTGAAGAAACACCATCCAAGCCTCTAAAAGGGTTGACCCATCAGTCAATCGTGAGAAAAACGGTCTTTTTGCAGTGAGAAGGAAACACCATCTTCATCCTTTTCCAAGGGCTACAAAAGCCATTATCACGATGTATTTTGAATATAACAACTGCCCCCTAAGGTGACTTTACATTAATTACTGAAGCTCTGCAGTTACACATAGATTCCTGCACTACATCAAGGCCAGCAAATTTCAGGATGTTTGTGAACACCTCTACCAAGTGCAAATGAAGACCCAAAAAAGCTTAGAAACTCTGGTAACTTGATTATGATTTGCCCTGTTACTGAAGTATATCAATGTCAAAATACAAAGAGAAGACACAGAAATCACTTGATTCATTTTAAATGTCACCAGAAAAATGTTCTGTAATGAAAATGAGCAATTGCTCCTTCATAATTAAGATATTTATATCTCTGAGTGTACCAGGAAGTACAAGTTAGAATAAAATGGGAAGGATTTTTCAAAAGCAATAAATTATCACACCTATATGACACATTTGGGGAAGCTTTGATAACTAACATTGAAAATGAATTTGCTAAACTGCTTTAGAATTTCGTCCAGAAACAAGCCTAGTTTTAGAAGAAAGCCACAAAAGGTTACAACCACTTAAATCTTGAATAAGAGTGCTGTAAGGAACACGCACTGCTTCCTGACAACAGCCAAAGATGTGCTCTGACACTCCTGTACTTCATTAAAAACAGAGGCTGCTCTTTCTGTGTACATGCACTCCAATTACCTTCTCTGTTGTGACCTCCTGCAACACAATACCTCACAGGCATGCCCATTTGTCACAAGAGAGCTGTGCACTACACTACTTTATTGTGCAATAAGCCATTGTCTGAAAACACAGAAAATTTGAGGAAGCAGCAAATTTGGTTTTACTGTAGTTTAATATAAAAACTTCACATTCACAAACATAACCTGGAACACACACATCTGTATAAAACAACTAAACTAGCACTGCATAAGAAATCAACTCATCAAAACCTGATGAGGAGAATGGTATTTACACATTTCCCGTTTATGTTCTGAGAAATATTACCTAAAATGCTTAAATATCACTTTCAATACACATACTCTCTAAAAATGTGCATAAAAATGAATTCCAGTGACATGTAAGCCAAATCTATAAATAAATGCCTCTAACATGCATAATCATATATGAAATGGTTATGGATTATGCTAACTTCAGCATACAGCTCAACCCTAATTATCATCTGAAGGCTTTCATGCCGTCAACTAATTTCCATCCTGAATGCAAAGTACTAAACCTTTGATCCCAAGAAATAAAAACAGCAAAGGACATCTAATGAATAGGGACTTTCGTTTCATGTTAGAGAAGTTCTGAGAAATACGATTTTTAAATACCTACAGGTATACCTAAGTATGTGCTGTAAGTATTGCATGTACTCCAAAACAAGTATCTAATTGCTACAGGGGCAGCAATGCCTTCTACGTGGATATTCCTTCTGTATATTCCTACAATGTGTTGTAGTCATTTTATACCAAAGAAGGCAGGCAGGTATGTCCATGCAATATGTAATGCATGTATACGCACCGTTTTAAAAAAAAAATTGCACATTTTAACCACCACAGCAGACATTAAATGAATTCTAGGTGATGAACAGAGATAAATTAGCAGCCAGCCACCATTACAAAAAGAACATACAAACCCAAGGAAGCCATCCCCAGAGCTGCATTAGGCCTCGCAATGAGCATCCCCTCATGCAAAAAGAAGGAAGCAGGCTGGGTAGTCTCATCCCACACACAAAATCCAGCCAAAACGTGCACACAGTTACAGCTCTCCCACTGACAGGAAAGGAATAGATATTTCTAGAGCTTTCATAGGGTGCCTGCTTAAATGATCTCTGTATAAAACACTACTGAAAAGTTGGATGATGCTGTTTGGGTTTTATAGGTTATGCTTGGGAGATTTAATTACAGAATGGGAGGATAACAAACATGTAATTTATCATGTTATCAAATCTGATGCTTCATAGGAGTAAGATTAATAAATAAATATCTGATATCTTTTAAGAGTAGCATGGAGGTGTGGTGTCATTTCCATGATTTTTAAAAACTATTTTACAAAAAGCCATTACCTATTCACCAAACAAGACCAGATTTGAATACTTAATTGCACAATTAGCTTTGCATACTGTGAAGCAGCAAGTCCCATACAGGAAGCAAGGAAGTTAAGCCTGTATGCAGGAAGCAGACATGCATGTATACAGAGGAAGAGCCAAAACCTGCCATGCCTTTCTGCTGTCACTTTTTAAAAAATGTTCATTCTTTCCGCCTCTATTTTTTCCCTA